TTTTTTTTTTGTAAGACCATTTCTGATTTCAATTTGATAATTTTCATCATATAAAACCCATAAGGAAATAATGTTTCTTTTTAAGGCATGAACATATCTGGTATATTTCAGAAGTATCACCAATCATTTCCAGTTTTAAAACAATGTCCCCAATGCCTTTCACTCCACAGGATTCATTATTTCCTAATTTTACAAGACTACCATTTTGTTCAAAAAATCAGAGAAAAATTTGAGATTGGGACCCATATGAAATGAACACCCTGAGTCAAAAACCCAGTGTAATCCGTCCTTTCATGAGAGGACACATAAGAAACACCAATGTTGGCTCTTGCTTCTTTATAGAAAGCAGCAATGGCAGAAGAGCCATTACCTTGGCTAGACTAATTCCTTTGATCATTAGCTTTTTAAAAATAGTCTTTCATAAGATGACTTGTTTTTATCACAATAATAACACTTTCTATTTTTATCATTTTCCCTTCTAGGTTTTCTTGCCCTTTCCTTTATTACTTCCTCATTTCTTCTCAGTGAAACTCTTATTGTGATTGACCCGACTATAATTGCTAACCCCCTTAGATTGAGGCTTGGATTAGATAGAGAGTCCCAGCATGAAGGGCTTCTCTATGTTCTGGTCTTAACTCCAGCTTTTTGTTCTTTAAAGAACTATGAATTACATTCATACCATATTTTTAAGGCATTCCTTGTGTCCTCATACTTGTCACCAAGGGCATTAAGTAGACCAACTACTTTCTGCTGATCACTTAAGATCCTTGCGCCACAGTTTATAAGATCTTGTGTGATCTTATTGAACTTATTCATGTTCTCTGCTAAGCCAGCACTAGGGTCAAACTTATGACTAAAGAATTGTTTCCAACGGAAATACTTATTTCGTACGGTTTTAGTGAGATGCTATTTTTCTAAGGCATCCCATAACTCAGTCATAGTTTTAGTTTTCCCTACCTTTCTGATTATAGAATTGGATAGATGGAGGAATATTGTACTCCATGCCAATTCATTATGTTCAGTTTACCTATCAATAGGGGTATTTTCTGAACAAGATTCATCTATAGCTTTGGCACACTTTAATTGTAACATAAGTGCTTTCATCTTCTGGCGTTAGAGACTAAAGCCTCATTTGCCATCTCATATCTAAACATCAACTTTAGTGGTTATTGTGTGCACAAGTGTAGTAACAATACTCAAGAATTTACAAATAAGAAATAGAGAGAGATCACAAAGATCATATAGTTATATCGAAAACTTATAATAAAAGAAAAGAGAGAAGTTATACAACAAATGAATATACTCAATTATGTTTATACGCAATAGAAAATATGAATTCAAAACATGTATTTTTAAGTTAATATGCATGCAAAATTCCTACTGTACAATATAAAGTAGGTGTAAGTATCAATACACAGTTTCAAGATTCACCAGTATTTGCAATTTATATAGATACAAATCTAAACTTCCAAAGAAAGGAGAAACAATTAATGATATGGGTCATTCGATAGAGTATTATTATCGCTTATGGATTTCTTTAGACCAAACCCAGCTTCCTTTATATTCTAGGGCTCTCTCAGGGATCCCTAGACAAAATTAAAAATAGGGAGCTTCAGGAATCCGATAGAAGTAGACTAGGTATTTTGAAAATGAAAATAATAGTTTAGATAT